GAGTACAGATATTTTATATAAAAATGTACAGAAATGTTCTTTTTTCCATAGATAATTTACATGTGTTTCTAGGTAGCTGAGTAGTGAAACTTGCAGTCTTGAAAAACCTTAATTCATTGTTAAGAATTGAGATAATTTGAAACTAGACTTCATTCCTGGAGAGAGCTGGTGTATTTACAAATCACTCCTGCTCCTTTTGGAATGCACCCAAAGCACTAATTTTACCAGTCACTCCCTCCCCCTTAATAAGCCCTGGACTGCAATTTATATTTCCTTGGATGTGTGTGTGTGTGCGTGTGTGTGTGTGTGTGTGTGTGTGTGTGTGTGTGGAGAGAGAGAGAGAGAGAGAGAGAGAGAGACTGACTCAGCCTTTCATCAGCAACTCTAGAATGGGTAAGACCACTACATAAAAAATGTCCCTAATGCCAGGCTTATAAATCCTTTTGGTTTTTGTTATCTGCTTGGCCTCATAATTCTTCCCTGTGTTGTCAGTTTTCTAATATTTTAAAGCAAATTTGGGAAAGTATTATCTAAACTAACATTACTAAAAGTGGAAGCCCAACATTTGATTTCTGTCAATTTCTTGATCACATTCATTGCTAATTTCCCCCTTATTTTCCTAATATATACTGTAGAAGTGTTAAAAACATATTCTCTACATTAATGATTGATTATCTTAATAAATCACAACTACTACCTCCCAGTTGCTTATGTTTTAATTTTTATTCACTATTTTAATTTTGAGATTATCACCTATCTTTCTTTTCCTTTATGGTTTACAAGTTTGCGTAGGAAGACAGACCCTCTCTAACTTGAGATTAGAAATATATTCTCTTATTTCCTTATAGTACTTGTAAGAGTTTTATTTTATACAGTTAACTCTTTTAATCAACTTCAAGTTTATTGTATACATTATGTGAAATAAGAATTATGGTAGCTAAATGGCCTCCAGAGAAAATCAATTCTCTAATCCCTGGAATCTGTGAATATGGCAAAAGACACTTTGCAGATGTAATTAAGGTTAGTAATTAGTGGCCTTCAAAAGAGAGAGCATCCCAGATTAGCCAAGTGGTGGGTACAGTCCAAACAGAGAACTCTCTCTCTGGCTGGAGGCAGAAGAGATGTAACAGAGCAGGGTCAGAGAGATATGAAGCATGAAAAAGAACCAGTGTACCTACCATTGCACTTTCATGATGGAGGGGCAACATGAGGAGGAATGCAAGCAGCCTTATGGGACTAAGAAAAAATCCTAGCCACAGCCACCAAGGAAATGAGGACCTCAGACCTATAGCTGTGAGGAACTAAATTCTGCCAAAAACTTGGAAGAGCTTAGAAACAAATTGTTTATTATGGTACTTTTCTCTTTGGTGGATTTTCATTATTTTTTAATGACTATCAATGATGTTTAGGGAATATATATAATATATACATTTATATAACATATTAGATATAAAATATATATAATTATATAATATATAGCAAAAAATCTAAATATGTATGCTAACCAGAGCTAGTACTCTTAGCTGTTCTAATGATATTTCATTTTATTTCTTCAATTTTCTAAATAGGTGATTCTGTCATTCCTAAGTAGAGATAATGTTTGTGTCCTTTCCATCCTTCATCCCTGTTTGTTTGTCTTATTACACAGCCTAAGCCTCTAGTTCAGTATCAAGTAGTAACAATATAGCACATAACCTTGTCTTTTTTACTCATCTTAAACAGTAATGCTTATGTTTCATTGGAATATTTTCCTTTCTAGGGGTGCCTGATAGTTACCATTTGTTGTGTACTCACATCATTTTCATTATAATAACTTGCAGACATATTTTCTCATTTCCACTAAACTAGACTTGTTAGAAAGCAGAGAATATATTATGGTAAGAACATACACATATATGCACATACATGTATATACATACATATATTTGGTATATGTGTGTATAATATATTTTCCTCACAGTCAACTTTCACCACACAGGAGACATGGACAGTTTATCTCCTTTGTACCAAACTAGCTTGCACAAAGTAGACAGACACAGAAAAGCCTTGACATCCTCTTAGGCTTACAAAATAAAAACATCATTCCCTTCTGACTTGTCCTTCCATCAGTCACTTAGCAACTTCTTGACCCCCTCCTCTTACACCTACCATGTGGTCTCTTAGACACTCTGCATGCATGATCCTCGTCTTCCAGGTGTGGGTTCCCTCACTACATGGGGGTCAAAGGGTGCTTCTTCCCTTATTGTGCAGTCACATTCCTCTGGAACTCTGGGACTATAGAGTCAGGGCTCTCTTCTCACTCAGTGACTCTGATGTTCCCTGTGCCACCTGTTACAGTATTTCCCTTTCAGTCAGCTGCATACTGCTTGCTTTACCCACCCCTCCTCAGCCAAGCAGCTCAACTGATGTCTGAGAAATGCATAACCCTTTAGAAAGAGTAGTAGACATTTCATTATATATTCAGACTATTCTGTCTACTAAGTACATAATCCTTTTATGCTTCTTTGTAACAGTAGATTATTTCTTTGTCTTCTTTTTTTTGTAGTACTAGGGTTTAAACTCAGGGCCTTGTTCATTCTAACACTTGAACCATCCCCCCAGCTGCTTTTGCTTTAGGTATTTTTTGAATAGGGTCTCATGTCTATGCCCAGGCCAACCGGGACCACGATCCTCCTATTTATACTTCCTGCATAGGTAGGATGACAGGCTCACACTACCACAACCCAGATATTTGTTGGTTGACATAGGGGTCTCATGAACTTTTGCTTGGGCTGGTCTCAAACCATAATTCTCCTGATATCTGCCTCTAGAATAGCTAGGATTACAGGCAGAGTCACTGTGTCTGACAGGTTATTTCTTTGGAGGACAGTACTGTGAGTTGATCTCCCAGACATTTGAATTGAGCCTAATCTCAGTTCTCCTGCTGCCTCCTCAGCACCCACAGCCTGGCAACAGAGTGGGCATTCACCAGTTCCACTAGTAAACGCATGAATGCTAACTTGTTCCATGAGTGTTCACTGCTTTGTTCAATGAGTATTAGGACCCTGAGTTGGCTGACTTCACGTTTCTAATTCTGAAGTCGTGTCTACTTAATTTTCATTAATCTTTAAAATGACTAAAATTTTGCTTAGGTATATGCTGACCATTTTAGTGAAGCTTGCCAAAAATTGATTGTAGCATAAGTGAAAATTATGGTTAATGATTGCTGGTTCCACTTCTTCTGAGCTGTGAAGCTTCTGAGCATCTGAGCCTGAGGGGGGTGGAGTTAAGTTGAAGCTTGAAGAATGCATGAAGTGCTTTAAAATTGGTATTTCTTGGTATTCACTTTTTAGACAGGTGACAAATGATGATAAAAAAAGGGTTTGCATTTGTGTGTATAAAGATAGCACCACAAATAGAAAATCTCCTGAGAATTCAATTATGAGGGTTTTTTTTAAAAAAACCTACAACTGTTATAAAACTACACAGAAAATAACAAGACCCATCAGTGAGTAGAACTGCCTACACTATCTATGCAACTATTGAGTATATTTTGAAAATGACAAAACGTAAAAGTTTTAGGCTCTCTTAAACATCAGTAACCTCAAACAACACATGCCTCACTGAAGGGGAAACTAGTTATTTTTAACAGAAGGCATTTATTCACTCAACAAACATTTATTGAACGTCTACTATGTGCCAGGCACCATTAGCCATGTTCTGTAAGATGAATGGAAGAATCTTTTCCTGAAGGCGCTCAGAACTAAGTGGAGGAGACTCCTAAAGGGAACTTGAATTGACTTCTTGACCGGCATAATCCTAGTTTTCTTCTTTTTGTAGACCAAGCCTTCTCCATCTCTTTCATTGACTTCAGGTCTTTACCCTGCCCCTCATAGTTGGTAGCCTTTGTGTTCTGGCCTCTGTTTCCTACTGCTTCCAGCTACACATTCTCTATCCCTCAGTGATACCACCTGTCCTCACTGGCTTCGGCTCTCATTCATTGCAAAGGCTCACACATTGCTATTCCCAGGCCAGAACTCCTTCAACTTAAGCCCTGCATTGACACTGGCACCTCAGTCTGGCACTCCAGATTAAAGTCTAAAACCAGTCAGTCTTTCAGACAGAATCCCCTGCTGCTAAATCCAGGTTTCATAGTTGGCCTCACAGTTAGGGCTCAGTGTCAGAACATGTTTTCATAAGGAAAGAGAAATGGAGTCAGTAATATAAGCAACAATCAGGCAAAATCCTACTGTGATTTCAGTGAAGAAAGAAGGAATGGACAGGTGCCCTTCTCCCAAAATTTTTCTTCTGCCTGTTGCTAAAAACTGAAGTTATGGTGGCTGAATGTCAAATCAGGGACCAGAACTTTAGTTTTCAACAAGATACTTTGCAATGTAAGTTACCCCCTTGAAATAGTCACACATCAGAGACTTTGCCAAAAGAGAGTTTGCCATGAGAGAGTGGAGAGCAAGGCACGACAGTATTGGTTGTCAAAACAGGCTTGGGGGAAGTCAGTATTCTGCAGGTGGGGCAAAGGACAGAGGAAGGAGAAGCCAGAGGTATCAGAGAAGAGTCACATATAGTTTTGTGCAGTGCTGGCCTGGCAGTCAGAGAGAGCCTGTCTAAACTTGTCTTTGGCTAAAAGGGTGGCACAGGCTCTTATAGTCAACCAGCAATGCTGAGCTGAGAGAATCAAAACCCTCCACATTCTAACAGAAATGGAGAGGAAAGAAAGGAGGTTCATCTAATTTTGGGTTGTTGTCCTTTTCAGCTAGTGCAATCCCAGGAATGTGGCTCCCCAAAGCAACCTGCACTCAGGTAGTTTTAGACTTTTCTCTGCCTTCTCTGTCCTTGTGGTTATGAATTATAAAGACCTTTAGTGTTTAACTACAAAC